CGTCTACCGAGAGGAGGACGTTGTTCTCTCCGGAAGAGCAGACGACAAGCCCGAGCAAACGGCGTGAATCTTACTCCGGATCGACTCAGCTCAAACTCGGTGGAAATGGATTGTCAGCAGCTACGCGCCGTCCCAATTCATCGCTTCTAATCCGGATGCCCAATGGCGCGGCCAAAGTCAACTGGCTCCACCTCTACAGGCTACGAAGAAAGCTGGAAGAAAACTGGACCAAAGGCCGTTTCACAAACTTCCAACTACCACACCCGGCACACATGGAAGAGGCCCACCAGGAGTGCGTCTACGCGATCCAATTCACCGGCAAATGGTTGGTCAGTGGCAGTCGGGACAAAACCCTAAGAGTCTGGGATCTAGATACGAAGCGCCTGTGGCACCCACCTCTGCTGGGTCATACAAAGTCGGTCCTTTGCCTACAGTTCGATCCTCGTCCCTCGGAGGATATCATCATCTCGGGCAGCAGCGATAAAAGCGTCATCATCTGGCGATTCTCCACCGGCGAGAAGCTCCATGAGATCGCAGCCGCGCATGATGATTCCGTCTTGAATCTTCGCTTCGACGAGCGGTATATTGTAACCTGCTCCAAGGACACGCTCATCAAGGTCTGGAGCCGACACCAGCTCTCCCCAGCCGACAAGGACTACCCTAGCATGTTCTTCGGCACCGGCGTAACCTATCCGTCCTACATAATCGATACGGCGGAGATGCCCTCCCCGATGCTGGAAGCCGAACTCGCCAACAGCCACATCCGGAGCCTCGCCCCTTTCTCCCTCCTGATGACCATAGACGGCCACACCGCCGCCGTCAATGCCATCCAGCTCAACGAGGACGAGATCGTCTCCGCCTCGGGGGACCGGCTGATCAAGGTCTGGAACCTCCGCAACGGCGCCTGCAAGAAGACCGTCATCGGCCACGAGAAGGGCATCGCCTGCGTGCAGGTCGACAACCGCCGGATCATCAGCGGCAGTAACGACGACACCGTCCGGATCTTCGACCACGCCTCCGGCGCCGAAGTCGCCTGCCTCCACGGCCACGGCAATCTGGTCCGGACCGTCCAAGCCGGCTTCGGCGACCCGCCCGGCGCGGAGGAGACTCTCCGCCTCGAAGCCCTCGCCGTCGACAACGCTTTCCGCGACGCGCAGCGCTCGGGGGCCAACGTCGACCTCGGGCCCCGCGCCCTCCGCCGCGCCGGCTACACGCAGAACACCACCGGCTCCCGCGACCCCCGGGACATCAAGGCCCTGGGTGCGAAGATCCCCCCCGGCGGCGGCGGCAGCCGGTGGGCGCGCATCGTCTCCGGCTCCTACGACGAGTCCATCATCATCTGGAAGAAATGTAAGGAAGGCCGCTGGGTGGTCGGCCAGCGCCTGCGACAGGAGGACGCAGCTACCAGCGCCGCCTACGTGGTCTCCGACCCGGCCGCCCGCGCGGCTACCGCTCGATCGAACGCTTTCGCCCAGCAGCAACACCTCCAAACCCCTGGCGCAGCAGCAACACAGGGCCAACAAACCCCCACAGCCCCAGCCCCAGCCCCAGCCTCAACCTCAGCATCCCAAGCACCCCAAGCAGGAGGAGGAGGACCCCTCCAAACCCTACAAGCCCTAACAGCCCGCCTAGCCGGCCAACCCCAGCAGCAACCGCAACCGCAACCGCAACCAAACCCAACCCCCAGAGCCCAGCCTCAACAAACCCAGCCCCAGCCCCCCATGAACGGCATCATCAACCCAGCCCTCCACCAACCTTCCCATCTCCCAGCACAGCAACAACAACAACAACAACAAACCCACCCCCGCCCGCGCCACCACCCGCGCCACGACCGCGACGCAAGCGTCGTCCCCACCTCGCGCGTCTTCAAGCTCCAATTCGACGCCCACAAGATCATCTGCTCGAGTCAGGACCCGCGCATCGTCGGCTGGGACTTTGTCGGCGACGACGAGGAGCTGCGCGAGGCCTGCCGCTTCTTCATGTGTCTATGATTCCTTACCTTCTTCTTGTGAAAGGGCTGAATAGTCGATATGGTAGTCACTCTGCGTGTGGGTCTGTCAGGCCTTAAAGGGATGGGATGATTCGAAGAAGCAACGTATCGTACCTAGTTGGCGCTTTCCCAGACAAAAAAGCAAACGAATCGCCGCGGTTGTTTGTCGTTCTGCTTGCTTGCATATCATTGCTTGGGTCTGGGTCTGACTCTGACTCTGACTTGGCAAGTACAGTACATCTAGTACAGTATTATACCCTCTTCGCGCGCTAAGCTTCTTTTCTATCTCCTCAATTCTCCACCTCGCTATCTCATCGTATCTCACGATCCGGGGTGTTCGGTTCGAGAACAGTGGGAAGCGCGGTAGTTCTTCTCTATCTCTTCTCCATTCGGCATGTATCACTCATAGCGTGGTCGCTTATGTCCTTTTCTTTCTTTTCGTGTTTTTTTTGTCGTGTTGAATCATCCATTCAAAGCATTCGCGGGGCATTATTGGAGCGATGGAGTTGGAGTTTTGATCTGGGGCTCGTTAATTTCATGACGTTAACCTCAATTACTTGGTTTGCATTACACATACTTCTTACTCCTTCCAACTTTTTTGTGGTTCTCCCAGACAACTATGACATGAGATTGATGATAGCGGTTGGCATTGCACCTTTTTAGGGATATGTACGTTCTTCACACACACACTTTCTCTGCATCACATTAAAACTAGCCTGAACAGCCATTTGAACTACACCACGGAGTAACTTCCACTCGCAGGGTGGACATAGCATGTAGCCTCCTCTGCGGATATCTGCCACGATCCCTGGAAAAAAGCAACTGCTATTGAGCATCCTACCCCCCGCAACACCCAGTCGACGATTATCAATCCAGAATCTGACCGATGGTGCCAACATTCCGCAAGGCATATTCGTGAACTGACTTCCATGCTTCGGAGAACCATTGTATCGTACGCGGAGCTGAATTTGGAGCTTCAGCTGCCTCGTCTTCTCGATCCGGCTCTACGGCGATTTCATTCGATGTATGACTCCGGGCAGTCTCATATGTCTCACGCGAAGATGTATTGGAGTAGACGGCAGAGTCTGGATCATTTCCGACACCCAAGCAACAGGAGAGACAGGAATGGCCTATTGATAGCAACTTCAGCCACGAGCCAGACGGATTGCAGGCTAGAACGCAAGGATCCGGTCGGGCGGACGTCGTGGGTGATTCTGTAGGGATAAGAGAGCATGCAACCGGCTCTTGTGGTGCTATCTCGCACGCCTGATCATTCACGGTGCTCAAAGGCTGTCTCGAAGGCGCAGGCCTTAATAGCTGAGATGCGCATGTATAGAACGACTCCACCCTGCTCGTTGTATAACCGGTATTCGCCGAGCCAGGCCTCTGCAGGCTGTCATGGGCAGGCAGGCGAGACACTGAAGAGAAGCGACCGCGGGCCGAGTGATGACTCGCAACTGGGCCAACATATGCCGGGGTCATGCGCCAGGGAACTTCTCGCTGAGGACTGTTGCTCTGCTCTCTCTTAAGCTTCCTGTCTTGAGTGAGGCTGCTGAGATCGGGGGTGTTCTCCTCCAAGGCAGGCGAAAGCGCCCTCTGGTGGAAAGCATGATCCTCCATTCGCCTGACCACACCAACACCATGCCCGCTCTGCCGGTAAGGAAAGCGACCCTGCACCGCCGTACCATCCTCCGCTCGTGCCACAGTAGGTGCTTGCTGTTGCGGCTGAGGAGGGGTGGAAGAGGTGAAGCTGAATATCCTTCGGATCTTGTCTCCATACGACGCCGTTCTCGTGCGCCCGGAGGCACCACCACCATCATAGAATCTACTCGACGAGCCACTCGCTGCCTGCGAATTCTGACTATCACCCACTGTGGCCGAGCGAACCTGGAACTGAGAAGAATAGTTCACAGCTTCGGGGGTGCCGAAAGTCGGGAGGCCAGGCGGAGTGGGCGACCTTATGGGCGGTGGAAATGCAGGATACACAGGATTGGCGGGACAGTCCTGCTCAGGCCAGTAGGATGGCTTGGAAGCCTTGTCCGTATCATTGAGGCTGGTGGTGGGTTTACGAAGGTGCAGGACGTCGAAGAAATTCGGTTTCAGCGACTCGTCCTGGGGCGCTGCGACGATTGCTCGGCCTTCGTTGACGGACAAGATGCGACTGTTGTTGGCAGTGTAAGGATGCCAGCCTGGAGACGAAGTTTCCTTTTCCCTAAGATATCGAGGTTGTCGGCACGGCTGTGGTTGTTGTTGTTGTTGTTGTTGCGGTTGACGTGTACGCCCCGTGTCCTGCGCCGTCGGAGGAGGAGGGAAGGTCGTTGTGTGGGCTACTAGCCTGCTATCTAGATCTCGGTGTATTTGCCTAGCTAAGCCTTGTCGGTGCGAAACCTCATCCGAGCTCGAATATGCCCTGATAGCGTCGAAGATGTAACTCTCCTCACTAGGAATAGAGTCCGCGAATTCCAGGTGGGAGTAACGCGCCATGCTAACAGCAGCTGCTCGTCCGGATGAGAAGACCTCGTCGTTGCCAGGAAAATCACTTTGATGCCCCTGCCCTTGATCCTGGAGAACCATACTGCAGAGAAAGTAAAGGAGGCATTCGTCTAATTAGGTCGGAGCAGAAGAAAGGAGCATGACGTCGAGAAGTTGATCGAAGCTGGAAATGATGCAAGTCTAATTAAGGCCATCGCGCTTTCCGTGTATAAAAGGAAGGCGCGACAGGAGCAGAAGGAACAGAGGAAAGATTGACAATCACAGTCAACTCATGTATGCTTAGGTATGTATGCAAGGCTCGCTGATAGACTCTAATCTATGTACACAGACAAATCAGGTACCGAGAATTGGCCGGGAAATTAGTACATCAAGATCGGGTGGGATATACAGGCAGAGATTAGGACGGGGCCTAAATTATGTACGGGGAAAGGGATATTAACAACAAGCCTAGGAATCGGCTGGAAGCGATTGATCGGGCTTAAAGCAAAGAGAAATGAAACATAGGGAAGGATCGAGATCATGAGGCTGTGACGACAGGCTGACCCAGGGGAGGCTTGCCAGTCAAGGTCGCAATATCCTTGTTCAGATTTCGGATTTGAGCCTCCAGCCGACGGCGTTCGTCGTGTTCCGCCTATGTGCGGTGCTGTCAGCTAGAAAGCACATGGAAGAGAGGATTGTGCCATTACATACCTTGCGTATCTTCAGGTTCTCGGACCGCGTGTCTCGCATCATCTTCTTGAATTCATTCTTGAGCACCATGGTGGAGGTGGTCTCATGGCCGTCGCGTCCGCTGCCCATCCAGTTGATTCGTTCTTCATTGAGCTGCGTCTCCAGTTGCTCACAACGGTCGCGCAGGGTATCAATGACTCCCTCGAACTGCTCGCGTTCTTTTTCGAACTCAATGCTGGCCTTGGTCATTACTTCGTAATCGTCCACCGTATCTCGGAGCTCTCTCTCCAGCAACTCCACCCGATGCTGGAGATCACCACCAGGCTTGCCCGCCTTGAGGGCTGCAAGCTCTTCGGCCAGCTCCAGGTTTCGCGTGTTCAGCTCGTCAAACTCCTTCTGGATGGCAGGATTCGCTGCGATGTCGGCCGCTCGCTGGGCTCGCGACCCATAGGCACCGTCCAGCTCCGCCTTGGCCATCGTCAGCTCGGTCTGAGCACGGACGACTTCACCCTCCATCTCTCTCAACTCAGCCTGCAGACGTGAGGTGTTGTTTTCTGCTTCAGCGCGCGCCACGGTCACTTCTGTGACGCGAGACTCCAGAGCTTCGACGTCGGCACGGAGCTGGCCTATAACCGTCTCTAGCCGTGCCACCTCGGTTTCGGCGTTGATGCGTGCATCTGTAGCCTCTTTCAGCTGAGATTCCACACTGGCGCGGAATTGACCCATGGATTCTTCCAACCGAGCAACCTCACTCTCGGCTCGTGCTCGAGCGTCGACGGCCTCCTTGACTTGGGCGTCTGCCTCGTTGCGGGTCTGCTGGAGCGTAGTTTGTAATTCCAAGATCTGCTGCTCGGCGTGCTGTTGGGCTTCCGTGGCCTCCGCTTGGTTGTTTGCCGTACTCTGAAGTTCATCAATAATCTCTTGAAGACGCGTGATTTCACCATCGGTCTTTGAGCGCAAGGTCGTCAACTCCTCCGTGTGAGTGTCGGCTTGTGATTGGAGCTGTTCCTGATGAGCTTCTGTAAGCGCTCTGCTCTTGGAATCGGCTTCCTCCCCATGTTGATCGAGCACTGCTTGTAACCGAGTGGCTTCACTCTGATGCTGCTCAAGCGCCGCCTGCAAATGGGTAGCCTCGCTCTGATGTTGGTCAAGGGCCGCCTGCAACCGTGTTATTTCACTCTCCGCCGCGGAACGTGCTATGATGAGCTCTTCCAGGCGAGCTTCATGGTGGGATTGGATTTCTCCAATGTGGGCTTCCAGACGAGCGACCTCACTCTCGGCTTGCGCACGGGCCTCATGAGCCTGAGTCTGAGCATCCTGTTCCCTCTTGAGATCTTCCAGGACCTTTTCCAGGCGTTCAACCTCGGCTTCGGCGCGCGCACGAGCTTCCTGCTCCGTGGTCAAAGCCTTCGATGTATCCTCCATGACGTGCTGCTCTTGATGGTCTGCCAGCTCTTTTTGCAGGGTTGTTACTTGTTTCATCGCGTCTACCAGATCATCTCTCGTTCGTTGGCCCTCGTTCTCGGAGAATTCGAGGTCTTTCTGGACATGCGCCAGTTGTTGCATCAGGTCCGCGATGTGTGCATCTCTCTCCGCGTCGGACTTGGAGTTCAATTCGCGCTGCTGTTGGATTTGAGTGGTCAAGATGCTCTTCTGCTCGAAGAGCTTCTCAAGTCGGTCTTCCAGCCCACTGAGGCCAGCATGGAGGTAGGAGAAATGTTCCGTCTGGTCTGCACTGGCAGAGTCGGGCGGCGGAGGTAGAGTCTGGGCGCCCGGCATGCCCGATTGCTGGACAATCTGATGTAGTCGCGCGTTGAGCTCGCCGAGCTGCTGCCCGGAGTCATCATCCAAAGACCGTGTCTGAAACTGGTTGCCTGCGGGATGCGCACTGAGACTTTCGAGGCCACTCTCAATATAGGCTACGTATGCTTCCATCGCTGCCGTCGGGGTAGCCCCTGGGGGCGGCTGCGGAACGGGCTCGAGCTCTCCAGCAGGATTGGACTGTAGGATCAAGTCATACACCCTCCCACTTAGATACTCCAACCGTTTCTCAGTATCCTGAACAGCCTCCAACCCAAGTCCATGCAGCCCCTGGCCGGCGGGCTCTTCCAGATGACCCGACGGCTTGTAGAAACTCCGATCATCAAACCCATCGATACTATCCCGGGTGTTGTGGCTAGACAGACTCTCCGGGGTGTGGGGCACATTATTCTTGAGGTTCTTCTTCAGACCCTTGTGCGTCATCTGCAGGATCCCAGCCGTGTGCTCCAGCAGCCGGCTATTGACCTGCTGCAAGCGGCGCTCCAGGTCCCAGATCTCCCGCGACAGCTCCTCGCACTTGCGGGTGCTCAGCGCCAGCTCTTCGTCCGTCTTGTCCATGGTGGTCTCATTGGGTCCGAGCAGGCTTCGTTGGGATCTCGGGGAGGAGGCTTCGGGGTCCTCCCGGCCGTTGAAGGAGGGGCTCTTGGGCGTGTACAGCCGGCTCAGCGACATGGCGGCATCGCGCAACTTCGTCTCCAACGCCAGTTTGCGTTTCGCAGCGTTCAAGCGACTGTTGACGAACTTTTGCTCCTTCTTCAGTCCCTCCACTTCCTCCAGCGACAGGATCTCGTAGTGGGTGCTGTCGCTCATGGCGGTCTCCGTGAGCAGGTACATGGCGACGGGGTCATGGGTGTGGAGTGCGGCGGAGTTCCGGGGAAGGTTCGTGTTCAGCTGCAGGGGCACGATGGAGAATAAGTATGCGATTATGTCCAAAGATTGATGGTTAGGGGTCTCACGAACCGGGTTGACTTGCGACTTGCCCAGTGGCTGCTGGGGTCCGGACGCATCGCGGTAGCCGTTCATCAGCACTCCGGTTGGGGGCGGTTGCGAAGCGCCGTAGGAGGCTGAGTGCCTGGGGTCGCCGTACGAGGACAGGCTAGACCTGACATCGAGGCCGTCGTTCATGGTGGTAATGTGTTACGAATCGAATGTCGAAGAATGTCGGGGAGAGGGACTTGAGGCAGCAGGTCGGGGTGTTTTAAATTGGAGACTCGCGGATCAACAGGCAAGGCCCATCGTCCGCAGTGGCAGCCGTGGACACCGTCCCCCCAAGGCAGAGAAGGGAGGGAGGGGTTCTCGTTTGAAGACTGAAAGAATGAAGGGAAAATAGATAACAGAAAATACCAAGGTAAGGGAGAGACAAACGCTCAATACGACTGAATTAATTGGTACAAGGAAGGGAGATGGAGGGGGGAGGAAGAGGGAGCGGAGGGAGAGAGAGAGAGAGAGAAAGGGACTGGAAGAAGGAATACTAAAAGATCAGCACCAGCCGACCGGAGCATACAAGAAAAGAACTAAAGCGATCACCACTCAGTGGGACTGCATCTGAGTTATTTAAACTACCCAAGCTGTGATCGGTCAGGAAGGTGCAGGTGCAGGTGCAGAGATGGATGGATGGCTCCGATGCGATCGCTCTTCTTCACAGTTGACGCCATCCATCCATCCATCCATCCATCCATCCATCCATCCATCCATCCTCCTGGACAGCTCTCATTCCTTTGTCCCCCTTGGGGAATCCCTTCTTCCCTTCCTCCATCCCATCCCATCCTCCAGGCTGCCATCCCAACTTTTTCCTCCAGCTGCAGCTGAGACCCCAGCCGCTGTCATGGCAGGAGTTTGACAGGCACCCCAAAAAAAAAGTGGAATGTCTGTCTGTCCATAAAGAACTCCTCTGAATTGGATTGGATTGGATTGGATTGGATTTTCTATTATTAAACCCCCCCCCCGGAATTTCCCCTGAAACAACGGATTCCTCGGTTGAGCTCCACTGCCGCCATCCTTAATTCTCAACCACATGAACCACATGGTAGAAAGAAGTTCTTGGAAAAGGGTGATCGTGAAGAAAGACCGGAGGAGAATGACGCAGCTGCCGGCCGAAGATCTTCTCCTCGAGTCACTCACTCACTCACTCACTCACTCAGCCTTTCGGGATTTTCGGGGGAAATATCGCGCGCAGATGATTGTGATACGTAAGTTACATATCACACTCGATGGGATGAACCGAGATTAGACTACAAGTTCAACATCCTTGGCAGTGCTGTCTGTGTATGCTCTGTTGATGTGCTGCTGGAAGAGACTCAACTCAATCAGTTCCAGTTCTTTGTCTGACTTACTTCGAGGTTCTTATATAACATGGTTCAACCCACCGAGGCTACCTGCCCAACTTCATTCGTCATAGCATCCATGATAGCAACCAGAACCACACTCTCAAAATTGAGATGGGAGAGGATGTAACATCCATCTCCAGATGTAACCACAATCAGCCTGACTTTCGGCTCAATTGAAACAGCCCAAACCCCCCAGAGCCGGTTGATCTGCTTCAACCTGTCTGGATTGCGCCCGCAAAGGCCGCGCAAATCACAAGCAGCCGAGCATGCGATTTAATATAAAGTAACCGCGGGGAATCAACCACTGCACCACTGCACCACTGCACCAACCAGCCTATCAGCCATTTATCTTTGCTGGGTTTCCCCTCCCCCGGATATCTCTCTTCCCCTCATTTTCACTTCCTCATTCCATTCGGTTCTGGTGTCCACACGAGATCATGGCCACGAGGAATGTTGAATCGGGGACGGATGCGCTCCCTCCATCCGGACCGGTCTACAAGGTTTACAAGCGACGATTTTGGGGGTTGATCCAGCTGGTGCTGTTGAACATCGTCGTTAGTTGGGATGTAAGTTGCAAGTGCGTAAATGTAAAGCAAGAAAAAAAAAAAACCCCACGCTCTAACATCACGCGACAGTGGTTGACCTTCTCTTCGATCTCGACCACCGCCGCCGAGCACTTCAAGGTCTCGGAGAGCGCCATCAACTGGATGAGCACCGGCTATCTCTTTGCCTTCTGCGCCGCCAGCCCGTAGGTTCACTTCTCATAGTTCATCACCCAAATAGCATGGGCACCAAACAGCACGCACCTAACTCAGGACTCTCCCATCCAGCGTCGTCATCTTTACCCTCAACAAAGGCGGCCCCAAGCCCGCTATCATCATCACCTCCTCTCTGCTGCTGGCCGGCAATTGGATCCGATATGCCGGCACGCGAGCTCGGGGCGGGATATTCGGGGTGGCCATGTTCGGCCAGATCCTGATCGGCCTGGCGCAGCCATTCTGTCTCAGTGCACCGACCCGGTACAGCGACCTCTGGTTCTCCGATCAGGGGCGCACGAGCGCGACGGCCGTGGCGACGCTCGCCAACCCCCTCGGCGCAGCTCTGGGGCAACTCATCGACTCGTTCTGGGCCACCGAGCCCGACGACGTCCCCAACATGGTGCTGTACATCTCGATCATTGTGAGCTTTCCACCCTCTGTCCACCCACCGCGTGACCAACACTCACCCCCACAAACAACAGGCGACAATCGCATCACTCCCATCCTTCATCCTGCCCTCCGCACCACCGACCCCACCCAGCGCCTCCTCCGCCAGCCACCAGAACACCAACACAAGCGAACCGACCCCACTCCTCCCAACCGTCACGCAACTCCTGCGCACCCTCGAATTCTACCTCATCCTGATCCCCTTCTCCATCTACGTAGGCTTCTTCAACAGCGTCTCCTCGCTGCTGAACCAGATCCTCAGCCCCTACGGGGCCAGCGAGACCGAAGCCGGGATCGCGGGGGGCATCCTGATCGTCGTGGGGCTGCTGGTCTCGGCGCTCATCGCCCCGATCACGGACCGGTACAAGCACTACCTGGCCACGATCCGCATCCTGGTCCCCATCGTCGCCGCCTCGTACATCGGGCTAATCTTCGCCCCGGCCAGCCGCGCGGGCATCGGCCCCACGTACGCCGTGTGCGCCCTGTTGGGTGCTTCCTCCTTCGGCCTGCTGCCCGTCGTGCTCGAGTTCCTCGTCGAGATCACCTACCCGTTCTCCCCGGAGGTCGGGAGCACCCTCTGCTGGACGGGCGGGCAGCTCCTGGGCGCCGTCTTCATCCTCGTGCAGGACGCCCTCAAGGCCGGGCAGCACGCCTCCCCGCCGGAGAACATGCGGAACGCGCTCATCTTCTCCGCCGTCGTGGCGGCCGTGGCGGCCCCGCTGCCGCTGTGCATCGGGCTGTTTGGCCGCGACGTGCGCCGCAGGCGCTTGGACGTGGATCGCGGGGTGGATCTGGGGGAGGTCGTCGGGGACGATGATGAGACCATTGACAACGACGCGGACGCGGACGCGATCCGTCGCGGGGATACAGCCGGCAGTGCCGGCGAGAAAGGGAAGTCCAGATTCAAGTGGTCGGTCTCCTCGAGACAATAGTGTGTTGCAGGAACAGCGGTTGTAGTAGGGGGGTGCGTATGTGTTTTGCTCGCATGGCTGGGCACAGGCCCTGTCCCTTACACAAATCGGTCGCCATGTTCCGACAAATGCTGGTGACTATTCACACCCACTGAATCTGCAGCCTGGAGTTTGCGGATGGACCGCGAGGAGGTGAACTACGACCCATGATGAATATATGATTGATACCCGACATTGAATGCGAACCCTGGTATATGGATGTCCCTGTCAGTGTATAGTGCTATTTCAGTCTGCGAGCCTGCGATGCTATGCATTTCAATGCCCCAGGGTTTAGAACCTACATTCCAAGAAATAGACCAGACCAGTAGACACCCAGCAAATAACACCCTGACAACGCTAGAGCAGGTCCTTCAAAAATCTAGCGGCCCTGGCTCAGCCGGCCATGGTTTTCCCAAGCTCCCTTCTGACTTGGTGGGTGTGCACGGAGCAAAAGCGCCCGCTCTTCGTCCGGCGTGGGCAGAGCTGATATTCGATCTCGACTGGGCGGATGCTGACTTGGATGGCTTGAAAGTGCATTGCGGTGAAAAGAGATAAGGCTTCGGGCTGCCAAGGAAGTTATCAGCGGTAATGACTGCGGTGTTGAGCGGCGAAGAGACAGGGCGCAATGTCAGCGGAGGTGGATGGACAACACAGCAAGAGGTAGACCGAAGAGACACGTCCTGCCCCTGCGGGGCATCAAATACACAAACCCAATGTAGAAAGCACAATTCACATTCATCTAAAAACAAAAGAGACCAAGTAAATAGTAAAAGCACAGTTCAAACAGGCAGAGACCAGCTATCTGTACATACACAGTAAAAGGGATTCTTGATCCAAATCCCCTTTTCCCTTCCTCCCCAGCTCACAATAAGACGAAAAGAACAGGAAAAGAGGTAGGTTTCTCCCCCTTCTATTCGTGTTCATCTATCCATGTAGCAGATGAAAAAAACAACAAGTATCTCCAAACCCTGTCGTTTCAGTGGCAGGGTTGACAGACACATTTTTTTTCCTTCACCCTGGAACAACAAAAATCAAAGCCATCATACAACACTCTGAACCTGAAACGGAAACGGTTGTCTTTCTCGGGTACGCGATCGGTCTCCCCTATTTCGTCACCGCGCGAGGGTTTCATTCCGCCATTGTTATACAATCGAGACTGAGCTTAGCGGTGGTCATGACAATTTTCGAAAAGACACATCGCGCGGCGGAGGGAAAAGAGGGGCTAATCGTTGCGTGCGCAAGGCGTAGCCCGTTTAGGCGAGCTGCTTCCAGAGCTTGGGGGCGGCGCACTGGGTAGCGCAGTGCGTGAGGTGGAAGACTGTTGGTTGGAAGAGAGAAAAAGATGATTAGTCACACGCGGACATCCAGCGGCCATCTGGGGGTGCCTTCGGGAACAGGAAAGACAGATAGACGTACACTCCTCAACGCAGTCCTCCTTGGGACCCTTGTAGTCCTCATCCTCCTCCTGCTTGGTTACGCGCTCGATGCACTCATCGAAGTGGTGCTTGTAGGGGGCGCACTGGGCGGACTTGGCGCACTCTGCAGTTTAGGGTCATAAAGGTCAGCCAAACTGTCCAATTGAGTCTGAGACAAGCATGGAGTTGCGCGAGTTCGATGCAGCGCCAATGACGCTGAATCAGCGGATGTTGTGTTGGTCGAATCCCGTCAGGAAGACTGGCCGACGGCAGGAATTGGGTGGTTGTCTGATATGTCAAGGACAAGCCATTGCCGCGGCGGAAGTCCAGAGTTGACCCAACATCGAGCTTCAACGCAAACAAAATGCAATAAAGAAGTGGATTCAAGGATAATTAAACTCACCCTCCTCGAGCTTGGGCTTGATGTCCTCGGGCTCCTCCTCCTCTTCCTCCTCTTCTTCTTCCTCCTCCTCTTCCTCCTCCTGGGGCTCCTCCTCCTCGGAAGACTCCTCGGCGGGGGTCTCCTCGGCGGACTCCTCGGTGGACTCTTCGCTGGAAGCAGCAGCCTCCTCAGCGGGCTTCTCCTCGGAAGACTCAGCCTCCTGGCTGCTGGTCTCCTCGACGGACTCGGCGGGAGCCTCAGCCTGAGCCTCGGGGAAGCCGAAGGAGGAGATGACGTCGGAGAAGAAGTCGGCGAGACCCATTGTGTTCGTGTGGGGAGGGAGGAAACTGGTCAATTGATGACTACCGGGGAGAGCCTAGGGTTGGCGAAGGTGTGGGGGGTGGTGGTGGTGGTGCGGTGGGCAGCAACGAGCGAGTTTGGATGAGGTTGGCGGTTTTGAGCTTTGGCACTTCCTTTGCCGTCTGGGAAAATCGGAACGCCCCGGCCGCCGGCGAAAGGCCAATTATCGCACCCATGATTGGCCGATCCTTGTCGGAAGGGAGATGACTAATCGCTGAACTACAGAATGGAATTACCCATACTCATAATGCCAGAAGATAGTATACAAGCCATCTGGAATTGATTGTTCCTTTTTTCTCTTCTTTTCTCATACGCAACGGCTGTAAGCCTTCATCAACTGGCCCGGCGCAGTCTTGCCTCCAATTCATCCGCCACGCTTTGCTGCTGGACCGTCTCATAGTCCGGCGGTGGTTCCACCATGGAATCCGTCTCTGCTGCATGAGGCTGACTCTGTGGACTCATGCATTGGTCCTGGCTGGCTTGACCTCCCCCAGCACCATTGTTCGTGGGGCCAGAATAGGCTGGCAGCTCGTCCAAATGAATCGTGGAGAGGTCAACGTTCCTGGCTCCGCGACTGCTTGCTTGCGAGTTCTCGACCGCCTGCTGTAGACGCTCCTTGATTCGTTCGAAATGATTATGGAAGTCGAATGCGCCTCCTTCTTTGAAAGTCACCTTGACCTGTACTGCAGGCAAGGATGGAGGGATCCCGCCTCCCGACACGGGCTGGACCAGGGCGATCCAGGCATTTGGCCCAAAGAACGGAGCAGTGACGTGGGTATCATGAACATTTAGCAGCGGCGCAGAGAACGACTGAAATGTCTGCGATTTCTGTGTCGGGATATAGACAACCTGCCCAATTTATGTCAACCAAGAATCTCAGACCAGACCCCTGCAGGGTATGTGAGGAGATGGTAATACCCGTTGGTTTGTCAAAAAAATTTGACCAGCACTGCTTTGGATGGAAAATGAGTTTTTGCCTCCAGATGAGCTCAGCGGCTGTAGCGCGAGGCTGGTGCGAGGTGGAGATGTATAGATCAGCTGCTCATGCGGCAGGCGGACAAAGCCATCCTGGTCATGGAGCATCACCCAGCTGTGCAATCACGAGTCAGCTAAGAACATCATAACACATGATTTAACGATGAATGCAGTAGCATCGATGGTAGAGCAGAGGCAACCGGTGTCAGGCCAAGGCTAGCGATCCTTCATATGTTGATGGCGCAGAGAAAGCCCAAGAGGATGTTCCCCCGGACAAATAGTTATAAGCAAGCGGAGAATGGGGAAGTCATATACATACTTGATCGACATAATGGCCTAGCTATTGAGGCTGGATGTATGGTTTGATCTTGCAGATTATGGTGTTGTCTGGATGTACCGGAGAAGTGACGGTAGTAACTTGCGTAGTTGGAATAAAACTGAGAGAAAGGACTGAGGATGTGAAGCCAGCTCCAGGGCAACCCAGGCTGAAACAACCGACAGACGGGAAGCCACAGGGGCAGGCTGTTGATCCTGAGGTCGCGAGTTCGAGATCGGTGAACAGATGAATTAGGAAGTATGGTTGGTGGTCCCCTGGATGTTATGCAATAATCTGTAGGTTGGTGGTAGTATATCAGATCCGAGTTCTAGAAGTCCGATCGAATGAAATAGGATAAACTGCGGACAGGGACCGGACCGGATCAAACAGCCACCAATAAAGATAGGTGAACAGTGAGCCTAGATGAACCAGTGAATATGACGAGAAAGTCCCTGTGCTTTTCAGATGCTTGGGGAGTCACTTTGAGTACAGTTCGGATTGATAGTAGTGATTGATGATTAGGATAAGTGGAAGTGCAGTTAAAAGGCACGGTGGGAATTGTTCATGTAATACTGGGTCCGCGGGGCGGCCGTCAGGCGGGGAACCTCCCAATCTCCCAATCTCGCAGAGTCATCTGAATACTAATACTCTTTCCAGATTGTATGAGTAGTGGATTTTCTTCTCTACAGTTGCCTTGTCCTACTCACTGCATCAACATATCCCTAACTTGGCCAAGGTTGCCTTTGAGCTGCACTTAGCAATCTAGTCACATCCAGACCACTTCTGAGCCTATGAATTCTGCAGAGAATGTTCGATGCTATAGTTAGTGTCTGGTGATCCTCTAGAACTTCTTCGCGGAACTGCATACTACTGTACATATTGTACTAGACACTAAAATTAAACATGCTATGATACATGCACTATTCTACATTCAATGCCCACCTACCTACCTACCTACCTACCGCAAGGATTTCAGAAAGGCATTCCTTCTGCCGGCAAGTGTCTCTAATGAAGCTTAGAAGAAGCAGCCCGCCACCCACATCACTCCCTACTTAGTGGCACACAATTTGGGTTGAGGAACAACTGAAGTATTAAGCTGATCTTGATTCATACCTTTCTTCTTATTCTGACAACATGCTCGCGGGGGGGGGGGAGGGTGGACGGCCTTGTCTACCCACCGCGGGGGGCCGGAAAGGCAAGAGGGAAAGTGGAAAGTGGAAAGAAGGGTGATTTACACGTGGAGAAAGCCGTCGGATCCTCCAGTTTTGTTGCCCAGTGCCGACCCACACACAGTTTAGCTTACAGGTTACGTTTCCGGTTTCCCCTTCGGTGTTTCTCCCTTGGCTCATTTATCTTCGCCTCGGTCGGTCGGTCGGTCAGCCTTATTCCAATTGCTTGGTTCCCCCAGATTCCTCCTGCCTGGCTTGACTTCGACATTGACTTCATCATTATTTCTTTTCCAATTGAGTGTGTTGCGTGGCCTGGTGACCGCCTGCCTGCCTGCCTTTGCCACCAGAAATTTCCCACCTTAAAACAGAAACAGTGTAGCCTGACGGGCACGGTCCTATCGGTCAAGGACCACATTGCGATACTTTCTTCTACCTCATATTTGAACTCTATTGCGGACTGGCAGTTTCTCCAGACTTTCTACCGTTGATTCCGAACCTGATTCTCTGTGTACCATACCTCAATTGTGGTAACTTGGACCAAACGCCGCAAGTACCGACTCGGCCATCCCCTTTCTCCGTCCGTGTCGCGAACTCGAAATCCCGAGGCCGCTCTTCCTTCGTCGTACCATTTTTGTGTGTTGCCAAACGAGAAATAAGAAAAAAATGTCGACCTCGATACACCTGTCGCGATTCAGGAAATGGCTTCTGGCCTCTCCACCAATGGAGTTTGTCATTGCGCAACTCCGGGAGTTGTTGGTTGGGGCAATCAAGCAGGGTCCAGTTCCACAGCATATCGCGTTTGTCATGGACGGGAACCGGAGATTTGCGCGGTCACATGGCATTGAGACCGTGGAGGGGCACAATATGGGCTTCGAGGCCCTGGCAAGAGTGAGTCGTTGTTCCGGAGTCGTCACGTTCTTCATCCATGCTACTGAGCTCTCGCTGACTTTTTTTTTTCTTTCTGATTGGCTTTGCAGATCCTCGAAGTATGCTACAAGAGCGGAGTCAAGGTAGTTACGATTTATGCCTTCAGTATCGAGAACTTCAAGCGGTCGAAGTTCGAGGTGGACGCCTTGATGGAGATGGCGCGGGTCAAGCTGTCCCAGATGGCCCAGCACGGAGAGATATTGGATCGGTATGGTGCCAAAGTGCGGATACTGGGCCGACTGGACATGCTGAAGCCCGATGTCCTTGCTGCCGTCAACCGGGCGGTCGACATGACGAGCGGGAACGGCGAGCGCATCCTCAATATCTGCTTTCCGTACACCTCGCGCGACGAGATCACGGGAGCCATCCGGGATACTGTATCGGAGTACAGCCAGCCGCTGCCGGCGAACCGCCCGTCGAATGCCAGCCAGCGTACGCCCTTCTCCGAGACACACATCACGCAGAATATCCGAGCCCGGGCGCAGCACACGAAGGCGGACGATCTTCCCAGTGACGTTGAGACCGCGTCGGAATCGTCTAACGAGGACGGTGCCCCTGCAAACAACCTTCCGAACCAGGTCTACGAGTCCGGGTCTTCGTTTTCGTCCTCCTCCACCCTGCATCTGGGCGGGCAGACGGACGCGGCCAACGGAAGGGAGAACTCGCCCCGGAAGGAGAAAGCCGTGTACATGTCCCCCGAGACGATTACCCGGCAGACATTAACCGAGCACATGTTCACGGGCGACAATCCTCCCTTGGATCTACTGGTCCGCACGTCGGGCGTGGAGCGGCTCAGCGACTTCATGCTCTGGCAATGCGACGAGGAGACGGAGATCGTCTTCCTCGACGTGCTGTGGCCGGATTTCGACCTGTGGCATTTCCTGCCGGTGTTACTAGGCTGGCAGCGTCGGATTTCCAAGGCGAAGAAGAACCCGGACGCGGAAGGCGACTTCGACGGGGAGAGCTACGAGCCCACCGAAGAAAGCAATGGTAAGAAGGTCAAGGGCTTGTAGTCGGAATTGCGATTTGCACATATATCATCGAGAACACCCCCAGGAGTTTGGAGTTGCTTTTTTGACGCAGCAATTGGAAGTGATATTCCCCTTTGTTGCATCCCCATCATTTGGTACTCGTTTATAGCGCAGCAGAGGTAGAAAAGTGAACCATGGGCGTGGCGTGTATATACGCATGCATACAGACAGACAGACAGACACACATACACACATAGACCAGAGATACAGTACACATGCAGCATACAAGCATGCAAGCAAAGCATAAACTGATCCACTGACTCGGTGCAAATCATCACTCATACGGTGTATAAATAGGGCGGGTCTTATCTCCCTGAGTCAGTGGCAACAGCCAATAGAATTGCGTGGATGCGCCGTGCTCCGATACCGGGTTGCACGTGACTCGGAGCGGCGGGGAAAGGTGTGGCAGCTACAGTAACGTTAGTAACCCTGGGGTCAATGACCAGGCCATTCGACTTTGACTTTTCTTCTTCTCTTCTTTTTATCTTTTTTTCTTTCCATCTGGATCATCTCCTCCCTTCCCATTGACCGTCTATATTCTTTCACAATGGCTATCGCAGGCTCCAAGGTTCTCTTGCTGGGCTCCGGCTTCGGTATGCTCTGCCCTCTCCGCAATGCGGGGTGACTCACTCACTTTCACTTTCACTGCCATTGACACTGATATCGGGAATAGTGACCAAGCCCACCGTCGAGGTTCTCAGCAAGGCCGACGTGCACGTCACCGTCGGTAAGCCATGACCCCCAACCCCTAATACAATCCTCAGAACCCAGAACTAACCCCCTCCAAGCCTGCCGCACGCTCGAATCCGCCCAGAAACTCAGCGAGGGATTCAAAAACACGACGGCGATCTCGCTGGACGTCAACGACGATGCGGCGCTCGACCAGGCACTAGCCAAGGTCGACCTGGCCATCTCGCTGATCCCCTACACCTTCCACGCGCAGGTCATCAAGGCCGCCATCCGCACCAAGAAGCACGTCGTGACGACCTCGTACGTGTCGCCGGCCATGATGGAGCTGGACCAGGCCGCCAAGGAGGCCGGGATCGTCGTCATGAACGAGATTGGTCTGGACCCTGTACGTTTGCCTTATCCTTACCCTGCCCTTACCCAGTTTCCCCCCTAAAAAACACTTGACACTTCCCACCCCAACCCCATCCAAATACACTAACCCGACGAAAAAAAAAAAAGGGAATCGACCACCTCTACGCCGTGAAGACGATCTCGGAAGTCCACGCCTCGGGCGGCAAGATCACGAGCTTCCTCAGCTACTGCGGTGGGCTGCCGGCGCCGGAGTGCTCCAACAACCCGCTGGGGTACAAGTTCTCGTGGTCGTCGCGGGGGGTGCTGCTGGCGCTGCGCAACGCGGCGAAATTCTACCGGGACGGGGAAGAGTTCAGCGTGGCGGGCCCCGACCTCATGGCGACGGCGAAGCCGTACTTCATCTACCCGGGGTTCGCGTTCGTGGCGTACCCGAACCGGGACTCGACGCCGTATCGCGAGCGGTACAGCATCCCTGAGGCCCAGACCGTGATCCGGGGCACCCTGCGGTACCAGGGCTTCCCCGAGATGATCAAGACGCTGGTCGACATCGGGTTCCTGGACGACACCCCGCAGGAGTACCTGGCGGCGGGCGCGACGATCAGCTGGAAGGAGGCGACCCAGAGG